CGGGCAGGGAGGAGCCGGGGGAAGGCAGAAGGCCAGGGAAGACAGCGAGGGCGCAGAGGGCCACGAGGGGGACTTAAAGGGGCCAGGGCGCGGCCGAGGCCCGGGGCACGGGGCGAGGCCGGGGGGCCCGGGGGCGTGCCGGGGGCCGGCACGTCCGCTCCGGCTGGGCCCTGCTGGCGCCTGTGAGAGGCTGCCTCGAGGCGCCACAGCTCCTGCGGCGAGAAGAAGCCGGCGGCCGGGGCGGGAGACCGGCCGCGGGCCCTCGGGGGGGCGTGCGGCGGCGGCTGGGGCTGCCGCTGGAGCGCCTGTGCGGCCCGCCAGCAGAAGCTGAGGAGGTGGGCGCCGTCTTGGTCGCAGAAGCGGCACGGCACGGCAGCCCCCGCCTCGCTGCAGGCGAACGCGCCCTGCAGGCACAAGGAGGTCCACGCGCGCACTCCCGGGAGTGAGGCGCCAGCGACGCTGTGCTCGAGCGCCTCCTGCTGCGCCGGGCTCGCCAACCAGCCCGATCCTGGCGGCACGCCGCAACCCTCACGCGGCCGCGATACAGGGCCTGGGCGGCGGCTCCCGCCTGCGGCCCCGGCGGGTCGGGTAGGGACCACCGGTGCAGGAGCTGGCGGGCTTGCTGCGTCCAGGATCCCTATGCCTCTCCGCCACTGGGAGGACGCGCTTTGCTTCAGCGTGCCAGGGGTCCGCCTGGATACCGCTGTGGGGGCGGATGGCGCGCTCTTCCAGTGTTGTGGCCCACCAGATGGTCCACCCCATGTGGTTCAGGAGGAGAGCCCGCGAGATGGGGTTGTGCACGTCAAAAGCTTCCCGGGCCCACCGCTCGTGGAGACGGTTCAGGGTCGTCTTGAAGCCTCCTCCTCGTCCTCCTCCTCCTCCTCCTCCTGCTCCTGCTCCTGCTTCCTCTCTTCTTCCCGCGCGGAGACGAGCAGGGAGGAGGTGGAGGAGGATAGGGAGGAGGAGGAGGAGGAGGAGGAGGAGGAGGAGGAAACGGAGGAGGAGGAGAGGAGGAGGAGGAGAGGAGGAGGAAGAGGAGGAGGATCGATGAGGATCGGATCGGATCCGATCGGATCGGATCGGGTCGCGTGTCCGCGAGGAGGCCTCCATCAGAGACCATTGCCAGCATTGCCATCAGAGGCCGTTCCTGATTCTTTTGGCACCGCGGCTCTCTTGCTCCTCTCGCCGGTCCCCGTCCAGCGTCCGCTCGTCCCTCGTCCTGGTCTGTTTGCTGGGGAGCGCGGTGTCTACTTAATCGGGGTATCATGTCTGGACTCCGATGGGAAATGCGGGGAATACATAGGAGGCTGCGCTGGCTTCCGCGGGGCTGCTTGCCCGGCATTGTGGGGGGCCCAGCGACGCGACGCGACCAGGTGTCCGCCCCCTCCACCTCTTCCTCCTCCTCCTCCTCCTCCTACTCCTCCTCATCCTCCTCCTCCTCACCTTCCACCTTTTCCTCCTCCTCCTCCTCCTCCTCCGCCTCCTCCTCCTCCTCCTCCTCCTCCTCCACCTCCTCCTCCCACAGGGCTTGTCCAGCAGCGCTGTCCAGAGCCAGCAGAGGCACGCAGGGACGCCTCTCCCCCTGCTGCTGCTTCCTGGCCCGCATCAATCCTCTCCTTCTCTAGTGCAGAAGGAGTCGGGTGAGGAGGAGGAGGAGGAGGAGGAGGAGGAGGAGAAGGAGGAGGAGGAGGCGGAGGACGAGGAGGAGGACGAGAAGGACGAGGAGGAGGAGGAGGAGGAGGAGGAGGAAAAGGAGAGAGGAGGAGGAGGAAAAGGTGGAGCGTGCCCAAGTAAGGAGGAGGAGGAGGAGGAGAAGGAGGAGGCGGATAGGAGGAAGGAGAGAGGAGGAGGAGGAGGAGGAGAGGAGGAGGAGGAGGAGGAGGGGGGGAAGGGTACGTGGAGGGGGAGATAAGGCAGAGGAGGTGGAGGAGACGGAAGGGGCAGAGGAGTAGGAGGAGGAAGAGGAGAAGGAGGAGTAGGAGTAGGGGTAAGAGTAGGAGTAGAAGTAGGAGTAAGAGTAGGACTAGGATGAGGATGAGGATGAGGAGGAGGAGGAGGACGAGAAGGAGGAGGAGGAGGAGGAGGTGGAATATGATGAGGAGGAGAAGGAGAAGGAGAAGGAGGAGGAGGCGGAGGAGAAGGAGGGGGGAAGGGATGTAGAGGAGGGGACAAACTTGAGGTGGAAGAGGCGGAGGAGGAAGGAGGAGGAGGAGGAAGGAGGAGGAGGAGGAGGAGGAGCAGCAGGAGGAGGAGGAGGAGGAGGAGGAGGAGGTAGACGACGAGAACCAAGACGACGGCGGCGACGACGACGCGGCCTCGAAAGCGTCGCCCAACTGCAACGAATCGGAGAGAGTGCTGAACCGCGGGCCCCCTTTCCGGGGGGCGCCCCGGGAAAGAGCAGGCCACGTCAAAGCCCCTGCGGGCCACGGCCCATGGGCTGGGGCCCGCGCAACATGGCCGATACTCTCTCGGGGCATGCGTGCCCAACTCCAAAGAGAAAAGAGAGCCCTCATACTCGTCGCACTCACGTGCCCCGCGAGGTCATTTTTTGCGTCTGGTGAGGAGGAGGAGGACGAGGACGAGGAGGAGGAGGAGGAGGAGGAGGAGGAGGAGGCAAAGGCAGAGGGCGTGGGAGAAGCCCTCCATACTCCCCATCCCATCGCTCACAGCGGCAGTCCCGCTCTTCTTGCGAAGAACACGCGACGGCGGCGGAGAGGCCCAAACCACTTTGGGGCCCGCGCTGGCCCCAGCGGCTCCCGTGAAGCTTCGCACACTGCGCCGAGGACGACTGCCCAGAGAGGGAGAATCGAATCGACTCGGCAGGAGGGGCCGTCGAGGCGGGGCCCCGTCTGGGGCTCCTGCCGCGAGGCTCAGGTCGGGAGACCGGTGCTGTCGAAACTCGGCCTGGGCAAAAACACCCGGCCGCCCCTCCCTGCGACTTCCGGGCCACCGCAGGCACGACCGGCCGCCCGGGGAGGGGATGGGGAAACGAGGAGAGCGCGGCCTGCGTGCACGAGAGGCCGCCGGCTCCACGTTTAGCGAGCAGGGCCATGCTCGGGCTGGCGGGGCTGCGGCGGCGGCGAAGCCTGCCCTGTACCTCTATGAGGCCGTTGCCGTGGGTGTCCAGCCGCGAGAACTCGTCTTTGATGCGCCTCCCCCCCCAGCAGGATGCCGTGGGCATAACTGGCGTCGCGCGCTACTTGCATTCTGCCTGCTAGACCATCGGCGCGCGTCTGCTCGCAGGCGGGGGACAGCCAGCACAGCCCTGGCAGATCCGGGAGGCCCTGCACGGCAGCATCTGCACTGGCGATCGAGGTCGGTGGGATGACCAGGCTGCGCACGCTTCGCCGAAGCTCTGATTGGAGCGAGCCAAACAGGACATTTCACGGCCCGACTGCGAACCTGCCGAAAAACACGACCAGGCCACACCATCAACAATGCTGATCCTTCGTAGGGTTAGGTCGGGCGTCCCCCCTACAGGCGGCTTTTGGGCGAAACATGAAGAATATTCAAACAATACCCCCTAAATAGTCAACAAATTGTCAAAACGTCGTCCCCAGACAATTCTTTAGAACTATTTTGGGATATTCCTCCCGTAGAGGGCCAGGCCCGACTTCATCGGAGGGCCGCAGGACCTCCTCGGGCAGCGCGAGCCGCACGGGTGACCGAGCGTGCTCCCCGTGCGCCTCGCCCTCGGGAGCGCAGGCCGCCGGGCGCACTGCCCGAGCTCCCCGCGGAGCTGCGCCTGGCTCTTTCTGCGCCCTGCTGCGCGAGCGAAGACAGGCGGCGGCCTCGGATCCCGACGGCGCTGCTCGAGCACGCGCACGTTCGGCAGGCGCGTGCTCCGGGTGCCTGGGGCTCCCCCCTGTCAGCTGCCGCCTCCCCCGCCCACCCCGCGCTCTGCGCGCGGGCACCTCCTGACACCACGAGCGGAGCCTCTCGGAGCTCGGGAGCCAAACAGCTCCTCGACAGATTCTCGAGCCACCGGGACCCCTCAAGCGTTCTGCGAGGCTCCTCGCGACCCCTGGAGGTCAACCTCCCCCGTGCGCATAGTCAGCCCAGACTGGGACCTTACGGGAACTTGCGTCTACGTTATTACGGCCGCGATCGGAGCCTCAGGAGGCAAGAGGGGTGAGTCCATCACTACAGGACGTGATGGGCCGCTCTTCTGCACGGCATCTGCAAATTGGCTTTGATTTCCCCATTTTCCCGTTACGGAAATCGCTCAACTTGCATAGCCAAGATGGGTGAGCCGTCCTGACGAGGATGAGGGGCGAAGAAACACCAGCTATTGCTGAAACGGGGCAGCCGCACCGGAAGCAGCCCAAGTATCCTCATCGAGCGATTTTGGAGAGGAAGTCCCATGCAGTTCGCCCAGGTGTAGTTCGTTTGCATCCCGTTCGTACCCTGGCATGCATTATCTGTGGGCGGGCCCACGTAGCATGCCGCTAATCAAATTCAGCTGCTCATGATATCTAGCTGGGGGGTACAAACTCAAGATTGGCCACCTGCCCGCGGGCGAAGCATGTCCCCACAAAGGCGACCAAATGTCGCGCCGCGCGCGCGTACCCAGACCCGCCAAATGACGACGAACAAGAGCAAGGCGATCGTTTATCACGGCCATGTAAGTAGCGCGTCAAGGTAACATTTGCTCAGCACCTAAGAACAGCTGGCCAAAATAGCAGCTCAACTGCGATTCAATACCACCGAAATCAACGCCCACTGCTGCACTGGTCCTAGATACGCGCGCGAAAGATGTGCTACCGAAGGGTTGTCACACATTCAGCCTCTCCGCGACGTATTTGCTGTGACATTGCGTGGCGTACAGAATACAACACTTCGAACTACAAGCGAGAACAGACCCCTTCGGCCTGGCTCCCCCCTGCAGCATGGAAATGCATCTTGAATTACGGCGTGCGCCCCTACCAGAAGAAGTGTACGGAGACACAGACGGACGAAATGTTTTACCACCTCGCAGCCTAGGGCAAGAAGAAACTACATCATGTTAGGACCCCAAACAGGCTGTCTCTAGCAATCGTTGTGGTACTGTGGTGCTGCCTATGTGGAACATTCCATATGGTGCAATATATGTGGAACCATAGCTCTGGCGCAGTCGATGTGATGCAAGCGTGTTGTGCAATTAAGTCGCCTGCCCCGCGCGTGACCACTTCCCACGCTCGCGTAAACATCCCACCCACCCACACGCAACTTGTTCGAAAAACCAATGCAGCGGCGATTGCGATAGCTGCTCGGCGCTGGCTGGCGCATCGGTGCAGCTGCGCTAGCGCGCACAGGCTCGCGCGCAGAGCGACCAGCTAGTCTGGCGCAACCGACGCGGCCGTGGTGGCACTGACCACTGGGCACTTCCCAACGCGGCTTGCACGCCGCGCTGACGCTGGGGTACGTCAGTGCGAGTCGGTGCCTGGAGCAATCGCGGTACCATGGCGACGTCGACAATTCTAGACACAATGGTGATAGTAGCGATGCTGGTGACGACGATGACGATAACGACGGCAAGGCCGAAGACGACAGCGATGCTGATCGCTCCGATGACGATGACGGTGTCGACGTGTCGGCGACGAAGGTTTTGGAAGGATATCGACATGCGCGCGTGGCCGACGCGCGCGAATGGCCAGCGTGGTTTTAGTTGGCAGGGATCGTGCCCCCCCAACACACGCGCAAAGACGTTCGAATGATTCCGACATGCACGCGGCAGGCGCGCTTGGTCGCATTAGATGACTGCGTTGAAAAAAAACCATGTTTTCTGAAGGAATCGTCATCGCGCAAGCTGGTTTGAACATTCATGTTGCAAACCCACTGTTTTATACGTGCTCGGGGCAATCCAATTCAAGATCCTTACGAAACCTCAAGTTATTTGAAAGATTTCGGCATGCGCGCGCGACGGCGCGCGCGTATGCACTTCGTCCCGTTTCGTTGTTTCGCAAGGGGCTCTTGAAAACGGACGATTTTTTATAAACGAATGCGCGCGCATGGCATTATTTGACAAAGATGGCGGGGGAAGGGGTTCGATACCTACTGGGCTTGGATGGTGAGAGTTCAAATGGGAACTGAACGAGGAGGCAGAATCAAATGCAGATTTCAGCACGCGAGGGTGAGCGGTGAAGTATGGCCTCGGCGAGGTGCTGAAATTGATTACATTTTAGAAACGACAGCCTACATTACGAGTGCGATCTGCGTTGTCCAATCTATGTGGTGCAATCAATGTGATGCAGTCTATGCGGCGCAATATATACGGCGCAGTCGAAGTGGTGCAATATATGTCGTGCAAGTGGTTTTGCAAACGATTTGACGCATCCCATGCTCTTGCAAACATCGCACCCACCCACCCACAACATGGTTTGCAAAACCCATGCGGCGGCGATTGCGATGAGTGCTTGACGTTGGCTGGTGCATCTGTGCGGCCGCGCCAGACCGCGCATGAACGCGCGCGCAGCGGCCAGCTAGTTTGGCGCGAACGACGCGGCCGCGTGGCGCTGAGCGTTGGGCACATTCCTGCGGGCACTTCAATGCGAGTCGGCGACTTGGGCGGGCGCGGTATCATGGCAGCGTCGACGACGACTGTAGACACGATGATGATAGTAGAGAGGCTGGTGGTGATGCTGACAGCGACGACGGCACGGCCAGTGACGGCGCCGGTGCTGATCACGCCGACGACGATGACGGCGTCCTCGCGTCGGTGATAAAGGTTTTGGAAGGAGTTTGACATGCGCGCGCGGCCGACGCGCGAGAGTGGCCGCATGGTACTATTTGACATGGATCGTGCCCCCCCAGCACGCGCGCAAGGGCATTCGAATGATTTCGGCATGCGGCGCGAGAGACCCGCTTGGCAGAATTTCATGAACATGTTGAAAAAAACGCATGGTTTTCGTAAGGATTCGCCAGAGGGCGAGCGCAAGCTTTTTTGAACACTGACGTGGCGAAACCATATATTTTATATGGTTTCGGGACACTCGGTTTTGACATCCCTGCGGAACCTAAGGTTTTTGGAAGACTTTGGCATGCGCGCACGACGACGCACGCGCGTGCACTTCGTTTCGTTTGCTGCAAAAGATTAGCGCGACAGCACGCTTGCAATGGTGTTCGAACGAGTTCGACATGCGCGCGCGAAGCCCGCTTGGTTGCATGTTATGAAAGTGTTGAAAAACCGATAAGGGGGAGATCCTAATTCATTTGTTCACAAGAGAATAAATGTTGTGCAATCCACTTCGACTATCTTGAAGCTGTCCTCTCCACTGCTCGTGCAAACATCCCGCCCTCCCACCCGCAACTTGGTCGCAAGACATCTTCAGACCACGACGGTGGATACCAAATGGCTCTTGGCGACGACAGCGACGCCGACGACGACAGCGACAACAACGACGACGAAAACGTCGCCGACGACGACTACGACGACACCGACGACGGCTCCGACGACTTCGACGACGACGACGATGACGACGACGACGCCGGCGACACCGACGACGACAATGACGACGACGACGACGACGACGCCGACGCCGACGACGACGACGACGCCGACGACGACGACGACGACGCCGACGACGAGGACGACGACGACGACGACGACCACGACGACGACGCCGAGGGCGACGACGACGACGACGCCGACGACGACGACGAAGACGACGACGACGTCACTAACGAAGACGACGACGACGAGTGAGGAGGGAGGACGACGACGGCGACAACGACAACAACGACGAGGGAGGAGGGAGGACGGCGACGACGCGAACGACGAAGAAGGAGGGAGGACGGCGGCGCCGACGACGACAACGACGAGAGAGGAGGGAAGACGACGACGACGACGACGACGACGACGACGACGGCGACGAAATAGGAGGGACGACGACGAGACGCCGACGACGGACGACGACGACGACGAGGGAGGAGGAAGGACGACCACGGCGACAACGACGACGGAAACGACCACGACGCCAAAGAGGACGACGACGAACACGAAGAAAAACAGAGCACGACGTAGGCGACGACAACGACGACGACGCGGGAGGAGGGAGGACGGCGACGAGGACAACGACGACGACGCAAGAGCGCGCGCGCACGCTTTTGTTGAAAATCTGTGTTGCGAAACCTTGTGTCTTTGTAGGTTTTTTGGAGACACGATTTAAAAATCTTTCCGAAACCGATGGGCTTTGACGGATTTCGGCATACGCGCGCGACGACGCGCGCGTCTGCACTTCGTCCCATTTTTTGCATAGGATTCTCGCGACGGTACACGCGCAAGGGCGTTCGACAGATTTCGACATGCGCGCGCGCGAAGCTCGTTTGGTAGCATGTTGTAAAAAACTGGGAAAACCTATGGTTTTTCTTAATATTTCGCAAGAGCTCGCGCGTAAGCTTTTTTAGCAAATCAGTGTTGCGAAACCCTGTGTTTTTGTATGTTTTTGTTGGAAACTCGATTGCGAAATCCTTCCGACACCGAAGGTTTTTGAAGGATTTCGGCATGCGCGCGCGACGACGCGCGCGTGCGCACTTCGTCAATTTTTTTGCAAGGGGTTCGTGAACAAGTGTTATGTTAGAACAACAAATGTCACCGCATAGTGTTCTTTTTTTACAAGGGAACCTCAGGGGGGGAACCCGGTTGGCCTGGGACATTGTGATTTCATATTCAGGATGGACATGTGGTCATAACCCTATGTGGTTTACATAGGACGCGGGGGGGGTGATAACGCCGGGGGGGTAGAGTCTATATCTCTTTTAGAAGGGAGAATCTACGTAGAGCAATTGACTACCCTGCACCGCGCCTAACCACCTCCACTGCTCGCGCAAACATCCCACCCACCCACCCGCAACTTGGTCGCAAAACTTCTTAAGACAAGACCGTGACGGTAGGTACCACATGGCACTTGGCCACGACACCGACGCCGACGACGACAGCGACAACGACGACGACGGCGCCGCCGACACCGACTACGACGACACCGCCGACGTCGACGTCGACGAAGACGACGACGACGCCGACGCCGACGACGACGACGACGAAGACGACGACGACGTCGCCATCGAAGACGACGACGAGGGAGGAGGGAGGACGACGACGGCGACAACGACGACAACGACGATGGATGAGGGAAGACGGCGACGACGCGAACGACGAGGAAGGAGGAAGGACGGCGACGCCCACGACGACAACGACGAGGGAGGAGGGAAGACGACGACGACGACAACGACGACGAAGACGACGACGACGACGGCGACGAAATAGGAGGGACGACGACGAGACGCCGACGACGGACGACGACAACGACGAGGGCGGAGGATAACGACGATCGAGGAGTGAAGACGACGACGACGACGAAATAGGAGGGACAACGACGAAACGTCGACGAAGACGACGAGGGAGGAAAGACGACCACGGCGACAACGACGACGGAAGCGACGACGACGCCAAGACGACGACGACGACGAGGAAAGACAGAAGACGACGACGGCGACGACGACGATGACGACGAGGGAAGAGGGAGGACGACGACGACGACGACGCAAGAGCGCGCGCGCACGCTTTTGTTGAAAATCTGTGTTGCGAAACCTTGTGTTTTTGTAGGTTTTTTGGAGACACGATTTAAAAATCTTTCCGAAAACGATGGGTTTGAAGGTTTTCGGCATACGCGCGCGACGACGCGCGCGTCTGCACTTTGTTTCATTTTTTGCAGAGGACTCTCGCGACGGCACACGCGCAAGGGCGTTCGACAGATTTCTATGTGATGCACTCTATGTGGTGCACTCTATGCTGTGCTATCTATATGTTGTGCAGTCTGAGTGGTGGGCAATCTCTGGGCGGCGACGAGGCGGCGGCAGGTCGGCGACGGCGGCAACATAGCCGCCAGACTGGCAGACAGGCCCAGACGACGGGCGCGACGAGGCGGCGACGAGGCAGCAACATAGCCGCCAGACTGGCATAAAGGCCCAGACGACGGACGGCGACGAGGCGGCGACGGAGCGGCGACGGCGGCAACATGATTAGCCGCCAGACCAGGAGACAG